ACATCACTTTGTTATGCTATCATACAGCTACTGGCACTGCTGAAATCTCATTCCATATTTACTATTATCAGTACACCATCACTATTATCCATTACTGCTCATCAGGTATTCAAAGGCAATTCATCTCTTCTTCACCTTGGTTTATTTTTACATCAATTCGATAACGCCAAAACTCCAATAAATCAAAATCAACCAAAACAAATCTAAATAAACTCAAAAGACGTAAACTAAACGAACGTAAAACTATCAACATCGCTCCTCACCAGATATACTCATAAAAAAGGTAAGACTAGCAATAACCTTAATTTTATCTTTTATATTACCAATCGGAGATGACGCTTGACTATCACAAGATCCTTCACTTGTTGGTTTGATTAAATCTGTTAATTGACCATTCCCATTGTTTGACTTACTCCTATTCGTATTGCTATTCTTTTCACTCACACTCAACGTTTTTGGATGCGATATTTTCGCACTGTCTGAAAAAACAAAAACTATTGGATGAACGGACGCATACAAAAGCACACAAATGAGAATTGTGATGTCAACGCAGAAAAGCATTCAGATCTCAATCTCCAACGGAGATGTTAGGCAATCTGAAGTTCGAGGCAAGTCTTGGCTACGAATCTGATACGAGATTAAGGAAGAAATTCTTTTTATAAAGTGAATTTGAGTCATAAATGAGTGATTGAATGCAAGATCACTGGATACTTACTTTGAGCAATATTACTATTGATGTTACCAGTTTTAAAGGATTGCTTTTTCTTTTGTTGTTTCAACAGATATTCATCTAGCAGTTCACCAATTTCGTAATATTCCGATTCGTTTGTTTCAGCGTTCGAAAATAATTTACTGCTCACTTCTTGGAACAACTTCAACGCTAATTCATGTCGCTTACAGTCAACATCTTTTGAGTGCTTCAACATTTCAGATATTAGTAATACTAATAATAATGACAACAACAGTAACGGTCATAAATATATTACTGATGATACTAATGAAATCAGGATTTAAATAATAATAAACAACAAATAACAATGAAATCAGTAGCGATAAAATATAACAAATAAAAATCAAACACACCGAATTTTGCTCGTGCTTAATATTAAAGGTATACTGATACTCTAAACGTATCAATTCATCTGGTGTTAACTGCTCCGTAAATCCACACGTTATCATCAACGGTAGTAAATAGGCACTCAGTAAATCGATTTTATTGTTGAATTCATCATTTGCAATACTTCGTGACACTTCATAGAGATCGCGTAGTATCATTAAGTCATCTGCAATACTTCA